AAAAAAAAAAAAATTACCTTGCTAGAGAAGAATGCTTTGCCGAGGCCGTAGGATTTTTTCGACATTTTTTCGGATTTTTTTCGGTGCTCGAATCGATCGTTGAAATTTCGGGAATTTAGAGAGATAGAAAGTTTAGAGAGATAGAGTCTGAAAAAGGGTTAAGGGCAAAAGAGCAAATGGGGGGAGGGGGGCGGTGACTAGTAAAAGGGGGCCGGTGAATAGCAATTGAGTATTATATCACGAGTGTGTAAGAAAAATTGGTTTTTCGACGAGACTGCTGTTATAGTAGAATACTGGCGTTCCAATCTGATTGAATTTTTTTTTTCTACTTGTAAAAACAATTTATTAGAAATTATATTTATATTGAGGCACTGTTTTATTTTATGTCTTTGCTTTTATTAAATTTTTGCACATATGATAAAGTACTTAAATCATTTTTTATTTTTTTTTTTATACCGAGGTTCCAGGCTTGCGCCTGACTAGTCCTCGAGGAAACAGCTCCCGACCCCTCAGAAACTGCCTCCAGTTAAACCGTGGTAGCCACACAATGGCTCCCAACTTTATACCCTCAACTACAACGCACAAGGAGTCAATCCCCAAGTGATTGATCGCTAGCCCTCCCAGCTCCAAGTTGGCTCCACCTATCCAGCCGCAGGATACGACCGAAGTGATTGCTTCATGCTGGCCCCCCAACTTCATGCTGGCCCCACATATCCAGCCGCTGGTTGCCACCGAGTTTCAGCCTCCCACACTGCCGCTTGTAGTCCTCAATATTAATTTACTTAAATCATTTTTAGCTATGAGGCATGGTTGCGCATTTGATGGCAAGCATGGAACATGCCTTTTGAAGCTATGGTTTTAAATAAGTTCCAAGTCAATAAGTGTTTCGAGACAAGACATTTAATAGTAGGTAAGACTTGTTCATATGATGCATGCTCGTTGGTCGAGAATGTTGCATTCCATCAACATTAGCGTGTGGTTGCAAATGCATATATGCGGGTGTTTGCTGGGGAATAAGTTCACTGAACATGGCCCGATGAAAGTTCTTAGCTGGAAGCTTTCAATTTTCGAATAAGAACTTGCACGTTGCAATAGTATATGATTGATCCTCTGACTTGAGGCATGATAGTAATATTGTGCATGTTGAGTTTTACTTTGATTTATCGTTTGATTGTTGGACAATCATAAAAAATATTTTAGGTATTAAATCAATGTGTCTGAAGGTTTATCTGTGACCAACATAGAATTCTACACTTAAGAGGGAGAGACTTGACAGCCAATGCCTACGTGATCGATATAAGAGACTTTAACGTCATCCTCGAGATGGATTGGTTGAGCAGTTACCGAGTGGACATCCGATTCCTTGACCATGAGGTGACACTTCATCTGGGAGGAGACGAGATGATCACATTCTACGGGGCGAGATCTAGAGCAGTGCCAAAGGTGATTTATGAAGAGCCTTCAGAAGGAGGGTAGCTAAGGATACTTGGTGAACATCGTCGAGAACGAGACAAAAAAGCCATCACCGGAGGAAGTGTCGATTGTCCGTGAAGACCTACAGGTCTCTTTGGGGGAGCTATCAGGAGGGCCCCGAGATAGGCAAGTCGAGTTCTCTTTCGACTTGATACCGAGAGCGGGTCCTGTGTTGAAGGTGCCCTATCGCATGGTACCGAAGGAGCTGTAGGAGCTCAAGACTCAGATCCAGGAGCTGCTGGAGCTCAGTTTTACCCGACCGAGCGTTTCACCGTGGGGAGCACCGTCCTTTTCTTGAAGAAGAAAGATAGGTCGATGCGGATGTGCATTGACTACCGTGAGCTCAATAGACTGAAGGTGAAGAACAAGTACCCACTGCCGAGGATTGAGGACCTATTCGACAAGTTGAGGGGAGCCAGTGTGTTCTCGAAGATCGATATGAGATCTGACTACCATCAGGTGAAGATTAAGGATAATTTTTTTTATTAACATATTTGTTTGTAAAATTAAACTCGATTGTATATATAATCATATATTTAATATTTATGGCAATTCATAATCATATTATGACTATAATATTTCGTTTACCATAAAGAAAATGAAAAAAGAGAACGGGTTAACATATTCCCATCTCCTTCTATGAAATATTCAACAAGTGGAAAAGTATAGAAAAATTGGTGCTATTTCATCCTTAGCACTTTATGAAAGTAGGACTTTTACGACATGGAATGACTGAAAATTGGAGAAATGGGAAAATGACAAAAAAAATCACTCCAAAATTGAAGAAGAAATTTGTTCTTTTATATGTAGGGATAACAAAAAGACTTGGACCCGGAATTAACCAGCCCAACCCGGAGCATTTAGGGCAGGTCAAACCTGCTCTTAGGGGTGGCCAGTCCACGGGCCGGGTCATGGCCCGGCCCGGCCCGTCGGGTCCACGGGTCGCAACTTCATGGCTCTTGACCGACCCGCATTTTCTAACGGCCGCGGGTTTGGACCTGCCCTGAACCACCGGGTCATTGACCCGCCGGTTTTTGGCCGATTCCGTGCCGGTGTGGCCCGCTAAAAAATACACTGTCGTCCGCCTTTCAACCCGCCGGCCAGACCCGGCTTGCCGGGACCAAAAAAAAGAAAAAATAATGAACCTTAACCGAACAGCGACCCTACGGGTCCGGTTCAACGAACCGGGATCGGTTCACGGGCCGGTTCAACCCGTGGACATGTCTACCTGCTCTGTTTTCAAAACGGGTCGGGCTAGGTCCGGCTCGTTAGTTGAGCGAGCCAGGCTCGGATCTCAAAGTGTTCCCCACCTCGACCTGTCCCGGCACACATTATTATTGAATACAATCTTTTTTTTTTTTTCGAATGAAAACCTGTGAATTAAACTCAAACCAAATACAGCGGGATAACCAAATGGTTCTTGTTTTCATAAACCAAATCGACAAATGCCAATTAGTATGGATGCACGGGAAAGTCAAATCAATGTTCTGCTTCAATAGCCAACTTGGCTAACCAACAACTACTAAGACGAGAAGAAGTGCTTAAACTAAAAATACAAGAAGAAAATGATTTGTTTAGAACATAAATATCCTCAACAACAACATTAAGCCATCTGAATTCAGAACTAGAGTTGTTCAGCAGCTCAATAACCTTCTTCAGGTTGAGAAGGAAAACAAAGTTATCTCATCCCCTTTCTAGAGCTTCTTGGAACATCCATCTGACAACTACCAAAGTGGCCTCCTCCAGATTAGTAGCCTAATGCTAGGGTTTAAGTCCATTCATGAGCATTGACAATTAAGATGTACTATCCTATTCCCCTAAGAAAATGTTCGCCATTGAGTTTGGTATAATTCAAAATCTTAGGTTGAACTTTAGGCTTAGGCCTCATCAGGAAGTTGAATTCCCACATTTCTTTCAAAGCTCCTTCAACTACCTGGTGTTCTGCCATGTGATCATGTCTGAAAAGCCAATTATTTCTGGTGACCCAAAGCCACCACATCAGGTAGGTAGCTAGGGTGATCCTGTCCCTCATGCACCTAGTATCATCAACATTGCAAACTTCTTTCCACCAAGTCTGATAAGAGATGTTATTGTCCTACACTGCTGTCCACTAGATCTCTGCCAACTTTCAACATTTTACAGCCCAAGGGAAATGAAACATCACATTTTCTAAGTCCTCATCAGCCTCACAACACAAACCACAAGTAATATCAACATCCAAACCTCTCCTTTTGTAATTGTGCATTTGTGCTACGGAACCCATTATTATGTCTCCACAAAAAGTTACTCAGTTTTAGTTTAACAGGAAGCCTCCAACTCCATTTTCACATTCCCTAAAGAGCACTCTTATCACTACTTGACCCCAATTGCAGCTGGTAAGAAGTTGAATTTGCAAGAATGGCCTCATAGGAAGATTCACAGTGAATGAACCATTAGCAGTGAAGTACCATACAAGGTTATCCTTTAAAACCTAAATGACTGATAAAAAACTTAAGAATGGACTCAGCTTCATAAAGGTTAAATGTTTGTTGAATGAGTTCTTTGTCCCACATTCCCATATCCTGCAAAATTAGATCACTAACATTTCTATGCCTTAAACAGTCCCCTTGGAAAAGTCAAGGAGTAAAGGAGCCGATGTTATGGATCCAAGGAGAATCTCAAATATCCACATATTTTCAACCCCCAACTTATGTGAGGGTACTGTAAGAAGCTTGACTTTCAATTTCTGACAATACATTTTGAATGAGAATCATATTTTCATCAAGTTTTGTGTTTGTAGTTTATCTATTTCTGCGAACCCCTTATTTTACATTGTAGATAATATGGTTCCATATGTCAAACAGAAAGATCATATTATCGGTGCCTTGTAAAATATAAGTTAATTGTTCACAGCCCAGACGAAATTGAACTAACTTTCGTGAAAGGGCGTAGTGTGATTTTTAGTTAGTCGGCTTTTTACTAATGAATTACACTAGTACATCTTGGATGAAATGGACAGACCTACAGTGGATAAAATTATTTTATACTGACTAAGTAAATAATTTGTACCCCAGTAATTGTTGCATTCTCTTAACCCAAAGACAATATAAACATACATGTATACTCTGCACTTGCTTATTTTATTTACCAAGGGTGAGGCTTATTCCGGTAGATTTACATACTCAGTATTTTGGTAAGTAATGGATGAGTATATAATGTGTTGTAGAGATTATTTACGATCACTGTGTCTCGGTCTGCTGGGTTGATGACATCTCCGAAATGAGCTCATAAAGGATTATTATGTCAAGTCCTGCATGCGGAATTTATTTCCGGCATAATAATAAAGAACTAAGTGGTACTAGTTTCGGAGATTTTGGCTTTCTGTTAAATTGAAACTGAAATTCTTTTTGTGGAGGCATAATAATGGGTTTCTTGGCACAAGTGCACAATCTATATATATATATATATATATATATATATACTATTACTGGAAATTAATTTAATAATTTACGGTATATATTAAATGATTACTTATGGAAATTGCGGCTCATTATTTAAGGAAGTAATTAAGTCATATTTTAAGATACGTTAATTACTCAAATCACATGAATTAATTAATATATGGTATAAAATGGACGGATTTATTTTTGGTATTGATTGTTGTTTCTATAGGAAATAAATTAATCAATATATGGTATAAAGTGAGAAAATTTATTTAGTTTATTTGATGACTTTTTTTTAGTAGGAACTTTATTGAAAAATTAATCAATGTACGATGTACTTTTTTCTGTAATGCGCAGGCTAATATATTAATTTTTAGACGTGTATTTAAATTTTTATTTCAATTTTTCGTATGAAATTAACATAATAAAATTATCGTAACTCCGAAAAAATAATATGAACGGATAATTTGATATAATGTGCGTGTAACGATATTTTTTTAGTTAATGAAACAATATAAGTTTTATATTTATACGTGTTATTCATATAGGTTTTTAAATATATAATAAAATTTTACCAAAATAATTATTTCATAGAATCAAGTTATAGTCAATCAAATTTCTGAATAAAAATTATGAAATGACACATATATTAAAATGAATATAATGTAATTTATTATCAGTTATGTACAACGCACATGCTGTGTACTAATTTTAAAAATAGACATTTTTTTATGTAATTTTTCACAATTTAAATTTTATATAACATTTACAATAAATTAATATAGGTACATTGTATTACATATCGATTCCATGTTTTTAATTTATAAATATTATTTAGTGAAATTTTTAATTTATAAATATTAATGAATTTCTCTCATTCGTGCATCGCACGTACGAGATTCGTACTAGTTACAGAGGAAAGGTTTGGATGTTGATCTTACTTGTGGTTTGTGTGGTGAGGCTGATGAGGACTTATAACATGTTTGGTTTCATTGCCCTATAGATGTAATATGTTAAAAGTTGGCAGAGATCTAGTGAACAACACTGTAGGACAATAACATCTCTTATTAGACCTGGTGCAAAGAAGTTTGCAATGTTGATGATACTAAGTGCAAGAGGGACAAGATCACCCTAGCTACCTTCCTGATGTGGTGGCTTTGTCGCACCAGAAATAATTTTTCAGACATGATCACATGGCAGAACATCATGGGGTTGAAGGAGCTTTGAAACAAATGTGGGAATTCAACTCCCTGATGAAGCTAAGCCTAAAGTTCAACCTATGCTTTTGAAGAACACCAAACTCAGTGGAGAACATTTTTGCAGGGGGATAGGACAGTACATCTTAACTGTCAATGCTCATGTTGCTTCAAGGGGAAGGGTGGGTCTTGGAAATACAATTAGAGTTGATGGAGCTTTTCTGCATGAATGGACTTAACCCTGGCATTAGGCTGCTAATCTGGAGGAGGCCACTTTGGTAGCTGTCAGATGGATGTTCCAAGAAGATCTCCAAAGGAGATGGGATAACATTGTTTGCCTTCTCAACCTGAAGAGGGTCATTGAGCTGCTGAACAACTCCGGTTCTGAATTCAGATGGCTTAATGTTGTTGTTGAGGATATTTATGTTTTAAAAAATTCCCGTTCTTCTTGTATTTTTAGTTTAAACACTTCTTCTCGTCTTAGTAGTTCTTTGTTAGCCAAGTTCGCTATTAAGGGGTAACATTGATTTGACTTCCCCGTGCATCCATTCTTGTCATTTGTTGATTTGGTTGATGTAAACTATAACTAGTTGGTTATTTGCTGTATTGACATGAGTTTAATTCATTGGTTTTCATTTCGAAAAAAAAGAAAAAAGAAAAGAAAAAAGAAGACTCTATATGACCTTTTATAGTGATATATTGATAACCCGCTTTGAATAGAATTAAAATTTTTAATAGTGAGATACAATAATCATTTATTTTGCAATTTTATTTTATTTTATTTTATTTATATCACTGAGATTCTCTTTTCATTATGTGTTTATATTTTGTGATTTCCTTTTACGCTGTCACCTTTTATATCTTGATGATCCCCCTCTTACATCATTTCATTATTTTCGGCGATTCGCTTTTATTTCATTTCTCTTTATCAATCTCCTACAGTCTGAATTTGGGATTTTGTTTATGTCAACAACATAAAAGAGACTCGAATGCAAAATTGTATTGTACAAATGTTACTTACTTCCCTTAGCTTTCTTAACTCCTATTTGAAAAGAAAAAGGAAAAAAAGAAAAAGAAAAAAGAAAAAAAGTCAGACTCCCTCACTTTGCCCATTTTGATATCAAATGAACCTAATATGAATGCCTTTATTAGGCCACAATGACCACTTTTCCCTTTTGTCACTGTCAAGTTCCAACCACCCACCCAAAACAATGGCTGCACTAATAACTTCTTGTAATAACTAATAACATCTTCCACAGTAAAAAACTCCACACCATTTCCTTTCTCTCCTCATCTTCAACTTAGACACAAACATACAAAAATCCCCCAAAAAAATAAAAAAAAAATAAAAAAAAAAATGGATTGGTTTTCTTGGCTCTCAAGAACCAATCTTGACCCTTCCCTCACCTACGAGTACGCCCTTGCTTTCGCCACCAATGAGCTCGACATTGAAGACATACCTTATCTCACCCACGACTTCCTCAAAAGCATGGGAATCTCAATCGCCAAACACCGCCTTGAGATCCTCAAATTAGCAACGACCCACAAGAATAAAAACCGCGTTTCAATCCGTCCTGTTGTGTGGTTAAAGCTCGCGGTCAAGCAAACCAAGACATACTTCACCAAGAAAATCGACACATTCTTCCACAATCATCAGCCTAAAAAAAATCTGCATCTTTCTCTGGTCCCCAATAACAGGATCAACAGCATGAGATGGAAAGTGGCCATGTTGCAAAGAAACAGGAGACTGATGGAGCCGAATAATTGGCCAATTGTGGTGAAAAACTACAATGATGATAATTGTGAGGATAATAAAAAGACTATGATGATGTTGACCAATGGGAGTCCGGATCGAAGCTCGGGCTCGACCAGGAATTGGGAAGGTGATGGAGAAAATTGGTTGTGTAGTGTGGAGGATGTGAAGTGGGATACATTGTTCAAGAATTTGAAGCCCACATGAGTTAAGTAATAATTCAATTTATTTTTTTGGATTTTTCTTTGAAGCCCACCAAATTTAAGAATATTGTAGTTTTTAGGTTCTGCATCTGTCCTGGAATCAGTTACTGAAAAATAAACTTTGTAATAAGTATGTGCACATGGTTACAACATGGTTGGTATATAAATACTACAGTGCTATATATTTGTGTGTGTGTGTCAGAATTTTGTTTATCCATTATGTGCTTGAATTTTCTGATTGTTTTTTGTGCTATGTGGATTCTTATTAATCTATGCACAAATGAAGGTGAAATTATTTGCAGTTGGGTCCTTGTAATTATCACATGATGATTTCTGATACGCCTTTAATTGGATTCATTTACTCCACACACGAGAATCTTGGTAAGTTATATTTGTAATAATATTATATTATTATATTATTGTGCCCCACCGGTTTTGTTACGAACTCAACCTTCTATATACAACAAGTAAAATGAATATGTATTTAATGAATTTTTAATGTTTTAATATTAAAGAGTACAATTTGTGATGTTTGAGTTGGAAAAACAAGTTAAGTTAGAACACGAGGAATATTAGTAGGATTAAGAATTTAAGTCTCTTCTTATATATACCACTACATGCCCCTCTCTCTCTCTCGGCTCGTACGAAAATAGAGTTCTCAACATCGAGAGCTTTATGAAAAGACGAGAGACGCGGGAGAGAGAAACAATTCGTAGGCAAACACAAACCCATCATTAAGAAAACAAGGAAGAACTATAATTTGGACTCTTGTAAGTTTTATGTGCAATTTACTAATGCAAAGATTCATATTTTATGAATTGATAGAATTACATATTTAGAGCTAACTCAATCTAGTCTAATAATTATGAATAACTCAATCTAGTCTAATAGTTATGAATATTTCTGTTAAATTTCTTACATTATTTTGATTTCTTTTATAAGTATTCATTAATCATTTAAGCAAAATAAAAGTTTTAAGCATAAAGGTTGAATACTTTGGCTTCTTAAGGTTTTGACTTTGAACAAGTAATGGGACAAAAAAGGGTTGAAACATTGATGAGGGGCACTCACTCAGTCAGACCTCTTAGTAACCGGTCATCAACCACACAATTTTTTAAAATTGTGAGAATACAATGATTGCAAGAACGAAATCTAATTTTGTAAAACAACAAAAATCACAAACGACGTCTCATATAAAACATAGGAAAAAGCGAGTAAAACCCCTGCAGGCCGATAAACAGCAGCAGGCAAACCAAAGCCAGTCGGCGCCACGAAAACCCCTTCCTCATCTTCACCCTCCAGCTTCCCTCATAGTATCGGTTAACATCCTGAATAACCCTATCCAAGAAGGGCACTTTGGTCATTCTCACCGAGGCACTCATCCCATTCCACAAATCCGCCACGTCACCATCGCACCTCAAATAGCTGAACACAATCCCACTCTCCCTTAACAAACGCGCGTCTTCCGGCCCATCCACAATCCCATTCATGAGCTCAAAATAGCGTGCAAGTACAAGTTTGCCCCCGCAAACACCACACGCCTCGTAAGCCACTAAATTCCGCAACACAACTCCCGAATTCACATCCAGCCGTACACTTGCCAGCCTCAGAGTCCCTGTCCCCGAGTCGAACCCAATTCCTAAAATACCCCTCTTGCTTGCCTCAAACTTTATTCCCGCACTCGCCAGCTCACTCACTGACGGGATACGGATTTCCTCAATTAGCAAATCCGCGTCTTTCTTCTCCTTATTATTATTATTATTATTATTATTATTATAATTATTCTCTCCGTTGGCATGTTCTTCCTTCTCGTATACATGTTCCAATACGTGTCTCATCAAAATCACTCCCGGGAGATTGGATATAACTTTAAACGGAAATGTGAGAATTAATCTAACCGGGTTCGAAAACACCAACCTCTTGATAATGCTTCTCTTCTCACCTTCTTCATTCACATACTCCTCCTCATCATCATCCTCGATTTCAGGAACGATCGAGTGGTACAAAAGGTCGAGCAAATGGGTACATCTTTCCAATTGGTCAAGATCAGGCATGACGACCAACTCGAAAGGCGAAATCGCGTTGAAAAAATCCGTCAGGATTGAATGAAGCGCGACAGCTGAAGTTGCGGATTGAAATGCCATTATTTTCTTTAATAAAGAAAGTGGGACTTGGTTTTCGAGCATGAGAATGTCCCTCACGATTGCGTCGTGGCCCGATTTACGACCCGTAATATCTCTCAACCACAATGTTCTCGACGGCATTTTTCTCGCAAAAGCCTCGAGAAACTCCAATAAGAAGCACGAGTCGATGGCCATCATCCATGTCAGCGTCTCGCCATTGAAGTTTAAGTACTTTTGATAAAATGCACGTAGTTTCGGTTCGTATGGGATTAAGTGGTCGACGATGTTGTGGAATTTGAGTCCGTGGACGCGTCTTTGGAATCTTTTGGCTGCGGAAAGCTTGCAACGTTGCATATCGTAGAGTTCGGGCCGGGTATGGTGATACGGGCCTAGTGATATTTGCTGCGGTATGTAGGATTCAGGGTTGGTTAAGAGAAGGGCTTTGGGCACACTGAAAATTGAAACTGGACTGTCGGGTTCGTTGTCAATATCTTCGTCTAATGAACGACGGATGTGGATGATCCAACGGTGCTCATCCGCGATTGGATTGGAGCTTGGGTGATCTTGGTAGGGATGGGAGGTGGACATGCTTTAATTTTTTTTTTTCACCCCTCTTTCTCATCAAATGAATTCTACGGTTTCTAAGTTTATTGCATGAGGTTATATTTAAAGTTGATTTAGTGCTGTTTTGTAACATGAACACATTTAATTAACGTTTTCAAACTTCATTTATGGTCGCCATTTGATGTTCTTAATTAGAACAATTTTAACCATATGCATAAATGAAAATGAAATTTTACAAGTTATACGTGTATGTATATAATATTTATAATCTTAAGTTAGATAATGTGCATATAATATTTTGTAAAATTTATTATTAGTAAAAATGAATGATATTAATTGGGAGTTAGTAGTAATATCGTGGGTACATTGTGGTGTTTAGGCCCCTTCTCCAATGTCTTCCCACTAGATTCGACTTCTGGCCATCTTCTAGTTGTAATTATGTACGTTCTAGCTATAAAATTT